GAGGAACCACTTGCCAGCCATGCTCCCAGCTCCCAGCCACCAAGAGACAGCTCTTGAGAACCTCAGAAGCTCAGACCCCCAACGACAAGGATGCCCAGGGATATGGCGCCTGCCTTGGCCACCTGAGGAAATCCCCAAGGCCTGGCTGGGCAAGCGTGGGATCCACAGCCAACCCCTGCCTCCCCTCCCTCAGCAGGAAGGAGTCAAGAAACCCCGGGGGGCTTTCTGGGATTTGCCAGAGGGCAGGGAGGCCGGGCTTGGGAAGCCCTGGCCAGGCGACACTGGAGTGAGGAAAGTGAGACACTGAGTCACACACTGGGTGTGGGATCCCATCTTTATGCAAAATCTTGGTATTTTATTCATCGTGGACTTTTTACATAAATTTTGATGTTTTAACATATTGCCTGACAATACGATTTATCACAATGACTGAGTTTTGGATGCTCCTGAGACTGTCCATGGAGTCCCTGGGTGGCACCAATGGTGAAGCACTCAGCTACTAACCCAAAGGTTGGCAGTTTGAACCCACCCAGAAGTGCCTTGGAAGAAAGGCCTGGCAATCTGCTTCTCAAAGATCAGCTGGATCAAAGAGGACAGTTCTAATTGGACACACATGGGGTGGCCATGCGTTGGAATCACTCTACGGTAATTGGTATACAGCACAGACAACTACTGGCAGATTCTTCCCCGCTGGGCTCAGCTGAAGGCACTCTGGTGCAGTGCCTAAGGCATTTGACTGCTAACCAGAAGGCTGGAGGTTCAAGCCATCAGCCATTCTTCCACAGAAGGAAGATGGGGTAGTCTTCTTCTGTGAAGATTTGCCATTTCAGAGTCACAATGGGGGTCACTATAAGTTGGAATTGACTCAATGGCAGTGAGGTTTTTCTGGGGGGGCTCAGCTAGGCTGGTTCCAAATTGTGGACAACATTGAGAAGAATGGGAATTCCAGAACACTTGATTGTACTCATGAGGAATCTGTACATAGACCAGGAGGCTGTCATTCAAACAGAAAAAGGGAACACTAGGTGGTTTAAAATCAAGAAGGGAGTGTGTCAGGGTTGTACCCTTTCAACATACTTAGTCAATCTGTATGCTGAACAAATAATCCGAGAAGCTGGACTATATGAAGAAGAACATGGCATCAGGATTGCAGGAAGACTCGTTAACAACCTGCGATACGCTGATGACACAGCCTTGCTTGTTGAAAGTGAGGATGACTTGAAGTACTTACTGATGAAGACTGAAGAACACAGTCTGCAGTATGGATTACATCTCAATATAAAGAAAACAAAAATCCTCACAACTGGACCTATAAGCAGCATTACAATGAATGGAGAAAAGATTGAAGT